TATTATTATTATTATTATTATTATTATTATTATTATTATTATTATTAATTTGTAGCCCACCTTTATTATATTTACAAATAATTCAAGGCAGCAAGCATATCCAACATACTTTCCTCCTCCCATTTTTGCCCACAACAACCCTGTGAGATGGGTTGGCCTGAGAGAGAATGCCTGACCCAAAGTCACCCAGCTGGCTTTCATAGATAAGGTGGGACTTGTGTTCACAATTTTCCACTTTCTGGTCTGGTGCTTTAACCACTAGACCAGAGTCTCCAAACTTGGCAACCTTAAGACTTGTGGACTTCAACTCCCAGAATTCTCCAGTCAGAACAGCTGCGCTAGACCAAACTGGCTCTCTTTTGGAACAAAAATGTTGGCCCAAATCCAGAAAAACTGTACATAATTATCCCGGTGTTATCTTTTAGCAGTTTAGGACCAGCTTTCTTTCTAATTAACTGCCTCCCCCTTTTCCTTAAGAAATTATTAAATTAGCATGTCAGAGATATATGTCTTGGAAATCAGATTTACAATCCAGACAGAGGATAGTTACTAAATTAGAACTAAAGTTTTCCAGACCAGCCATACAAATACACGAAAGGTGATATTGAAGTTTCCTGGTGTCTGGACCAAACTACTTTGAGACTTTTGACATATTTTGAATATATTTTATCCATATCCAAAATTTAGTTAAATTCTCAAAATGATATATAGAAGGCCAAAGAAACGAAGTACTCAACAAATTTCATGGTTTTGTTTTCCCCATTTCATGGCACTGTGATGAAACTAATATTTTATATAGGGGGAAAGTAAAACCAATGTAAGATGTTGAAATTCTGTTAAAACCCATGTTAGAATTCATTGTGAAATGCCCCATGCTCATTGTAATGTCACATCATCAAATAATGTAAAGTGTCTGCTAATGTTTGGTATGGATTCACCGCTTTCTCAGACACAATTATTATGGAAAATAGTGGAAAACACTATTTTGCATGGGGAAATCACTTTGTTTCAAGACTTTAAATCAAGCACGTTCAAATTCTGCAATACCATAACTATCTGATACAATAAATTAATTGTACAACCTCCCTGTATGAATGAAATTAATGAACTCATTGAGATTTGGGTTGGTCAAGAAGTGTGCCACAAACTAAAAGATATACAACTCTGATATATTTTCTTGAAAAGTTTACTTTTACCTGCATTACTAGTAATTTGGACAGCTTACATTTTTCTCTCACGACTCAACCTGAATTTCTATTTTGAAAGGCTAGAAATGTAAATTAATGGATAAAGATATTGAATGTCCTGAACTCTTAAATATAGTTACTCTGAGTCAAGAGATATGCTAATACACACCATGTAGGAAATGCCTAATTGGCTGGAAAACATCTGCTGATCCCAATGATGCTGCTATTAGTGGCTGACCCACAGGTTTAGCAACATTTGTGGTTATCTTCCCATTGCAGGTGTACCTAGGCAAAATGCCAGCGTGCTTTGGCAATGGTCTCACTTTGCTATGTAAATCTGGTTAGCTTTAAATAAGCACTACGACCCCCTCTAAGTTGCTCCCAACAGATCACCAAAAGTCTAAAAACTCAGATTTTAAAATACACTGAGAAATTTCCCATCAGTCTTCTAATAACATTGATACTGTATGTCTTAAGGTTAATTCATATTCTTCAGGAACTGGAGACTTACCATTAGAGCGATGAATACAGGTGTGTTGGTTGTCGCTTAGGAAAAACCCTTCTTTGCATTGGCATTCATAGCTTCCCATAGTATTGACACAAATCTGTTGGCAGCCACCATTGTTATCCAAACACTCATCAACATCTAGAGACATAAAATTTAATATAAGCTATTAATACTCAGAATACAATAAGAAGCCACAAATTCTTCATTCCAATTCAGACGCAAACATATGGTCTCATCAATCATCATTTAAGAAATTATAATTTATTGGGTTGAGCATCAATTTTGTACCTATGTGCTCCTTTCCTTCACATTTCACAGTGCAAAACTCACAGCCATAAATCATAGATTGGCTGATCTCAAAAAGTTAAGCAAAGTTGGATGGGACACCTCCTGAGAATCCTAGGGCACTAGACTAGATTGGAAAATAAAAGTAACACAAACAAAGAAGGTGATACAAATTTCTTGTATGTGTTGCCAAGAAAACTACTGTCATGTTTTAGGACAATGTTTCTTAGCCTTGGCAACCTGAAGATGTGTGCACTTCAATCCCCAGAATGGCTGGCTGGGGATTTTAAGAGATGAAGTCTACACATCTTCACATTACTAAGGTTAAGAAGCACCATTCCAGACATTTGTTAGCCAGTATAAGTACAGTGACAGCATTTCCTAAACTAATATTCTGAGGGGTGTCAAACTCACATTGTCACAGCAGCATCGCGTGATGTATCACAATTCCCCCCCCTTCGCTAAACCGGGCGTGGCCAGCACTCATCCAGCTCGCGGGCTGCAAGTTTGACACCCCTGTTCTAACTGAATGTATTGTGTTTTCCATACGTTGTCGTCAGTGACTGTATTTTTAAAAAAATCATCCTAAATAAATTTTTCATAACAAAACACAGGTAATCCTCGATTTACGACCCCAATTAAGCCCAACATTTCTATTGTTAAGTGAGACATTTGTTAAATGAGTTTTGGCCCATTTTACAATTTCCTTGCCACAGTTGTTAAGGGAATCACCACAGAGGATAAGTTAGCACCTCCTTGTTTAAGTTGAATCTGGCTTCCCCATTGATTCTGCTTGTCAGGTGGTCGCAAAAGGGGGTCACAACGGTCATAAGTATGAGTTAGTTGCCAAGCGTCTAAATTTTGATCACATGATCATGGTCACTAAATGAATTCTTGTGAGTCAAGAGCTACCTGCATGAAACCTAGAACTGACAAAAAAAGATCCTTTGGCCGAAATTAATTGTATTAAATATCAATCTCTTCTCAAGCAATGCTTAATCCCAACCTGGATTTAATAATGGGTAAATTTGGTTTTCAGTGTGGTATTTTTCATTTATATGCCTTGGAATATCTTTCTGAAAGGAAGTTTCCTTTGTGCCTTAAAAAAAACACCTGACTGCTTATCAAATGCCAAGAGCACTGCATTTGTTCAGATGCAATTATCTGCCATCAGTATCATGATGTAATTGGGTACTCGTTTTTTTCCAATCCTAGCTTCCAGGATTTCAAATTTGAGTGATTTAAAGCTCAGTTAATGGGACTCTTTGTTGAAGCACATTGTTTTCAGAATCATTCAAAGCCTGGCTAAAAAGAATAGGCATGGTTCCAGCACTTTAGTAATCAATAATATATGGAAGTATACTTTTAAAGGTATTGAAACAGTCCTATGCAATAAAAAAAAAATCTTTAATCCTTCCGTTCTGCAGAATAAAAAGGCAGCTCGGGCTACTTTGCTTACCTTATTCCTAGTGGGTTTTTTTTAATAACAACAATATCTCTTACTCTACATACTTAAAAATAAAATAAATACAAAATGGTTCATGGGGAGTTATATTGTACGTTATGATTCTTGATTCTTAACAAATGTATCTTTTCTTTATGTATACTGAGAGTATTTACACCAAGACAAATTCCCTGTGTGTCCAATCACACTTGGCCAATAAAGTATTCTAATCTATTCTATATGATAGAATTAAATACCTTCCCTATCCACTTTGTCAAGTCATAAGGAATCAAAATCTGGACAAGTAATTTGAATCAAAAACATCAGTATCACAAAGCAAAATTAAGTTTTAAAAAACTGAGAGTGTAATGGCATATTTAAAATCACCCCAAAGTCGGAAAGAAATAATAGCCTGCCTAACAAAAAGATACACATGAGAAACAGAAACTAGGAAGTCATTTTTCCTTCCATATTCCCATTTGCTCTCACTTGGAAGTGGAATGTAAAGGATTTCCAAGCTGAACAAATTTATATGGTTGAGGATTGTATTTTAGACATTGATTTATTATACATCATCTAGTTGGTGTTGTTTCTTAGTACTACTGTGTTTTCTTGAAAATAAGACGTCTTATATTATTTTTTGCTCCAAAATACGCATTAGAGCTTATTTTCCAGTTAGGTCTTATTTGGGGGGAAATACAGCACTAAATGCATCAGTCTGGCTGGCGATCTTAACTGGGACTTATTTTTGGGGTAGGGCTTATATTATGAGCATCCTGAAAAATCATGCTAGGACTTATTTTCTAGTTGGGCCTTATTTTGGGGAAAACAGTAATAGTTAGAGCCTTTCAGGACTGCTCAATCCCCAGAATGGTCCTTCAGGTCCTCCAAAGGACCCATCACCATTGTGAATCCATCCACCTTATAGCTGGTTGTCCTGAAATAGTATATTTCATATTTATGCAAGTCATACACATTCTACAAAACACTGTGTTTTTGCATAATGTGTACTACTTGCATAAGTATGAAATATACATTAGAAAAAGTGGAAGGAAAGAGAAGAGCTATGTTTTCATATAATGTGTATGACTTACATAAATATAAAAATTTGAGCCTGGTCATTTCAGCTTTGAGTAAATACTTAGGATTGATTTCTACTAAAATCCATTTGTTTGTTTTCTGGTTCATGATAGAATATAACACGTTATATTCTTTCTATCTTTCACCTTTTTAAAAAACCAACTTGAATGCCTGGCATTTCCCTTTCCTTGTAAAGTTCTAAAGAATCTAATCTTTGTTGAAAGATCTTAAGCATTTGTGCTAACATGCAAACTTAAGGATATTGTGTAATAATTTGCACCTACTCCTTGGTATGTAGACTGGCCTCTTTCAAATTATTGGCCACAACTCTGGGAGGCAAGCCGTTCCAGTGATTAATTGTTCCCACTGTAAGGAAATTCTTATTTCTAGCTTGGATCTCCCTCTGACTAGCTTCCACCCATTCCTTCTTGTCCTGCCCACAGGTGTTTTGAAAAATAAATTTATGTCCTCTTCCCTGTGACAAGTATTGGAAGACTGCTATCATGTCTCCCCAAATCCTTCTCTTCATTAGGCTAGATATACCTAGTTCCCTTTGCTGTTAATCATATGATTTAGCCTCCAGATCCCTTATCATTTTTGTTGCTCTTTTCTGAACTCTTTCTCAGACCTCAGCACTTTTTTTTGCATCAGGGTAAGCAGAATTGGATGCAGTATTCCAAATGTGGTCTCACTAGTGCAAAACAGAGTGGTGCTATCACTTCTCATGATCTTGCTACTCCTTGGTTAATGCAGCCTATAGTTTTGGCTTTTTTGACACACTGCTGACTCATGCTTAAAAAGGCCCTCCTTGTCATATGTATCTGATATTCAAGGAGCATGGAAAGGTCCAGAAGCGTCTTCAAATTATCCAACCAGTATTACTTTAGAGCGAATATCATCCTTGTTCTGAAGAGTCTGTTTACATAACTGAATTGTGGAACACTTTGTAGGACCAGATGTCACCATTCTGAGAAGACTTCTTGTGATCAGTTGTAAAAAAGAAGAAAGCTAAACATCATTGCCACAGTGATGAACTATCCCAAAATATGACCAAACAAGAGACCTGAGAAATCTCAAGGGCCGATATTTTGGTGGAGAATAACGTTCCCCTTCCTTGCCACCAGAATTTTGGAGTTACATGTAATTTATAGCAGTGCATTCCCAAGTCATTCATTACTCAGATTAATCCAAAGTTTTATGGTAATGAACATTATTGGTGCGTCTAATAGAAGCAATTAGAATTCTATCCCTTTCTCCAGTTTCAAAGAAAGCTATTGACCAATGCTCTCAGCACAACTTCTTTTCCAAATCTATCCTGGATTAAGTAATACATTTCATTCAATAAAGCCCAGAGTTCAAGCCCCTTACAAAAGCTCTCAAACAAAAAAGGAATATCCTCATCACTTCAGAGGAGGCAGATTTATTGCAATGGGAAAGGGCTCAGGTTACATTATCTTGGAAACTGGATATGTTAGCATTGGTGAGTATGTTAAGTCAAGGTCTCCCTGTTGCCTTTGATCCTTTCTTACTGAATCTTGGTTTAATGGAGAGTCTCTGTGTTTAAAACCACAAAAAGTCCAGCTATTCTTGTTCTGTGATACTTGAAGAAATGTCTGTTTTCATTCCCAGTTATAAAATTCCATCACAATAAGGCAGAATTGCCACTTCTTATTCCATGACATTCTTTAGAAAAAAGTTGTTGGGCAACAATCAGTCCTTATCTAGTGTGGAAAGTCCTTTTCTTTCTAGATATATTTTTTATTCATAAGTAGTTCTGTTGCAGCAAATTTTTCAAGAACCCCGAAGGAAACATTTGGCTCTTTACCATTTGACTAGTTTGCTTTTGCAGCTTTTATTGATGGACAAGATTACCACAAAAATATACAAATCCAGTAATTGAACCAGATCAAATGCAACCAATGGGAATTCCTTCTTCAGCTACTTTACTACCTGCTTTCAAGGTCCACTTGAGAAATGAAGGGATGTTATCAGTGAAATATTTTGCATATTTCATCACATGGGTTGCTGAGAATTCCTCCTCTTTGGAATGTAGCAGGTCTCTGACAGTTTGCAGCAATGCCACTGCTGCCATCTTGGCCACAAAATAGGCCTTAAAATAGATCCTTGCTCATTTTCAATTTGATTTGACATTCCTATGTCTATCTTCTTGTCCTCAGCTCTTCAGGAATAAAGTAACGTTAACTTTGCACAAGAAGAGGGATAAGTAATGACCTGGGCCATAAAGTGTTTGAGATATCTAATTCAAAAGGACGCTTCTACTCACAGACCAAATTCATTCCAGTAAATCCAGGTTAGAAGCATGCCATAT